ATAGTATATCTTGATATAAGGTGAGAAAAATCTGTGTCTGACATTACCTTCCACATCTCTCTGCTGCTTTAACATTCAGACTCCCATTTTTTCATCATCAATGTTAATATTAGATTATCTTTTACAGTCATTAGTATCTTCCACATGTTTATATGTTGATTCTACAAATTGAAATACCTTTTACATTATTCTAATTATTAAACTACTGCTTACTGAAGGGCTGAATAGCTCAACTTCTTGAGAAGAAAAGGTAATCTTATGTCATTACAACTGAGAGGTGAATGTTCCCAGTCAAATGGGATTCCTTGAACTCAGTCTTCAAGACTTTCTGTTAGGTTATTAATTTGGCCAATCACAGCCTTAATTTCCAAGAACTCTTTCTCCTTCCTCGATTGTGCTTGTTTCATAGCCTCCTATTCTTTCGCTGCTTGACTCTGAAGGTGTTAGGTTTTTTGTTTTAAATCAGTTTTTCTTTTCTTTTCTCTTAATTATCTGTTTTCTTCAGGAGTCAACTGTCATATCTGTTCCACTTGGACCTTCTCGTTTTTGCTGTTGATTTCTTCTAAATTTTCTGGGTTTTTTTTCCATATATATGAATGATGAAAAAGGTTGATCAATATTGGTAGCATGATTTTCCATTGTGGTATTAGACCTCACCCTTGAATGAAAAGATGGATGGCAGGGTCTATGTACACATAAGCCAAGAATACTAGTTTAGGGTGCATTTACGTATTTTGTTGATCATCCATTTTTTTTGAAATTTGAAATACATTTTTTGAAATTTGACTTTTAAGAATATTGCATGAAAATATCATTTACCTCATTTAGTTTTTTGGCACACCCTTAAATTTTGTGTGCCAGGCTTCACTCCCTCACTCTGGTATCTGTCTTATGCCAAGGCCCTGGAAAGTAAAACATAATTTCCAGGTAGGGTCAGCAGAGGACAGCAAAGGCAGTGCAGCAAGATCTCCCTGCCAAGGCTTGGCATCCCTCTCTTTCCCTCTCTCTCTGGAGGTCAAAAGCCGTTAGACTGTAGTAGAAGGTCCAGAGTGCCCGAGTCAGAAGAGAAATTGCTCACAGGCTGGGGATCCGGCTGCAGAAGCAGCGGAGAGGGTTAGCCACAATTCACAGCCTGGGATCTGCCACAGACTTGTGAACAACTGGACACCAGGGGGCGAATCGCCAGTGAGAGCACTTTCACAACCCTGATGGCTCCTCCCCGCCTGTCTGAAGCCCCAGCTCTGGCTCCTGAAGGTGACGGGAGTCTACCATCTGCCTTGAGCACTGATGCAGACTCCCTGTCTGAGAGGTGGAAAGTGCTACCAGCAGTGGCCAAGGGCTCCACGAGCAGCCACTGAGGGGAGGAGAGACTGAGCGGGCTGTGGGCACCAAATGCAAACGCTGACAGTTGATGAAAACACTCAGACACAGGCCAGTTAAATAATCTGGGAGCCAACCTCAACGTGATATGGCTTAAAATATAGTTTCTTCCCCCGTCCAGACGGGAAACACCGTTTAGTTGTGGAAACACTATGCGACTTTGAAATTAGACAAATTTGACTCTGTGAGTTGTTAGGTATGCGGCTCTCAGTTACTTAACTTTACTAAGCCTCAGTTTCTCCATCTGTACAAATGGAAATAATGATTCTTATCTCACAAATCTGCTGCAAGGAAATGAGATGATATAGATAAACTGCCTGGCAAAGAGTTTGGCCACTTGTAGTTAATCGATGTTACTACCTGTTCTGTCTCCTTCTCTTTGGTCATGGAAGAACACCCATGATATTGCTTTGCTATTTTTGAATATCAAGTCTCGCTATCTCCTATAAGCATACCTAACACGACCTGAGGGATGACTGTGTTAGGTACTATACTAAGTTTTCCGGAGTGTTATCTCATTTATTCTCATTACAACCTTATGAAGCAGGTACTTTTATCATCATCTCTATTTCACAGATGAGGAGATTGAGGCTTTCAAGGTGTAACTGGGTTTCCCAGTGTCATGTGAGTAGTGAATAATGAGAAGAGATTCGAAACTAGGTCACTGGATTCCAGAGTTCATGCTCTTGACACTACACAACCTGTTTTCCAATACAGACATTTAATCAAAGATTTAAAAATTTAAGAGAAAAAATAGAATTAAGAAAATAGTCTTGTCTTTGTGATATGCTTACTTGTTGGTATTATTGGCACAGGATCACCTTATACTATCTCTTCTATCTGATATTTAGGGTGAAAATTCAGTGTTCAGTGAAATAAATGAAAACAGACTCTGTCACTGCTATTCCCTTTAGAGGTCCTTTATGAAATTAAAAGAAAGAACAATGGTATTTTGGAAGAAATTAATCTTTAGCTATTACATGTAAAGGTAACTATAACATGACTAAGGAAAGCCTTATCTTTGATCTTTCTAAGAAAAAGTTTTCTCTCCTTTGCTTTACTACAAGGGGAAGATGGTATCAGAACAGCACTTCTTTCTCAGTGGATCCTAAGAAACGGTCCCTCACAATCCTGGTTCCATATAAGAATCACTCAAAAAATTTTTAAGCTACAGATTTTCGGGATCTGATGAATCCGAACCTCTGAAGAGGAGTGCCTAAAAAACTCCCTTCAGTGATTCTGATGCAAATCACAATTGATCATCAGTGACTAGAGTCTAGAGGGAGAGAAGTTTTCCTGGCCTCGAACCTCTCCGAAAGGGAGAGGCAGAGAATGAGAGATGATCAAGGAACTCGAGAAGGTGCGGAGATAAGTCTGCCCACATTTCTTCCCTTAAATAGATTCTGTCAGATGCTTGATGGAAGGCCAGAAAGTGTTGCCCCGTGAGCCACCATGGTTCCAAATACAGTCAAGCATGTCCAGACTAGCATCGTCCCTTTAAAAGTGGTTAGAAGTCTCCGGAGGCCACTGTCTATGCACTGCTTCTGTGCTAGTTTAGTCTTAAGATGAGAGGCTTTAGCAAGGTCTAAAAGGACTAAAAGGACCTGTGTTTTTGGCCTCAATCTACTTTTTCATGTTTGTTTCACTTTCCTGTACCTTCTGTTAGTGTCTCCAATCAAGCAAACTATTTCATGTCTCTCAAACTTCATATACTCGGGTTCTCTCTCTTCCACATGAAGAATGAAACATCCCCTCCCAACACACACTCCTTCCCCTTCCCTCCCCTTCCCTTCTTGCCCCTTCTCTTCTCCCCTCTCTCTCTATTTAATTCCAAATTATCCTTAAAGCTCATTTCAAATGAGCTCTTCAAAGAAGCCCTCCTTGCCTGCCCTCCCCACAATCGAAGTCTGGTGTCAGGTCCCTCCTTTAGTTTCTCCTCTCACTCTTTTAACATTTCTCTATAGCACCCACCAGAGTCTGGCGTTACACAGTGACTGGTGGGACTCTTCGTTCAAGTTCCATGTCCCCCATTCAAATCCAGGTTTTGTGAGAGTTGGCGGGTCTCTTTAGCTCCCTGCTCCCAGCCCTAACCAAGTGCCTTCCTCCCAGGACAGATTCAAACACTATCTGTTGAATGAATGAAGCAAATGAAAGAGAGACTATTTTAAATCATCCCTCTTTTTCTCCATTTAGGGCAGAAAATGATTTCATTCATTCATTCAATAAAATTTTCTGAATTCCTCCAATGTGCCAATGCCTGTGAGAATTAAATGATAAATTAAATATAGACTCTTTCCTTGAAGTCCTTAGAGTCTAGTGGGGAATAAAAGATATGTATTCAAATAGCTATTAGAGGGGCTAGAAGGGAAACCACAAACTTTTTTAGAAGGATCAAATTTCAGTCCTCCACAGTTATCAAAGGAAAGAGACTGTCCCTGTGAGAAGAGGTTAGAGGGCCTCCCTGCCCAGAGGCTGTGTCACCTGCTGAGTCAGCTGGAGTTGAATCCTTTGTGCTACATCATGGCTGCTTGGCCTCCAAGTACCTAACCGCTCTGTGCAGCAGCCTCCTCATCTGTAAAATGGACAATTTTCTAGTGGAAAGAAAACATGTCTTTGCATAAAACATTTTTAACAGACTACAGTAGGTTCCATAACACTGAAGAAGATATACGGATGGCAAATAAGCACATGAAAAGATATTCAGCATCATTAACCATTAGGGAAATGCAAAATTAAATCCACAATGAGATATGACTACACAGCTATCAGAACAGCTAAAATAAAAGATGACAGCACCAAAAGCTGGTGTGAATGTGGGGAAACTGAATCACTCACGCAGTGCTGGTGAGAATGTGAAATGGCACAGCCACTCAAGAAAACAGTTTGACAGTTTCTTAAAAAACAAAACACACAACGACCATACAACCCGGCAATGGCACGCCTGGGCATTTAGCCCAGAGAAATGAAGACTTACGTTGACACAAAAACCTGTACACAAATGTTTATAGCAGCTTTATCTGTAATAGCCAAAAACCAGACACAACTCAGAAGTCCTTCAACAGTTAAACAAACTGCTATGTCCATATCATGGAATACTACTAAGAAATACAAAGAAATGAACTCTTAATACCTTCAACAATCCAGATGAATCTCCAGTTATGCTGAGTGGAAGACCAAATCCAAAAAGGCTGCATACTGTATGATCTCATTTATGTAACATGCTTGAAAGGGCAAAATTATAGAAATGGAGAACAGATTAGTGGTTGCCCAGAATAAAGGAGGTGGTGGAGGTGGGAAGGAAGTGTGTGTGGCTGTGCAAGGGTCATATAAAGTGTCCCTGTGGTGATGGAAATGTTCTGTACCTTGACTGTATCAATGTTAATATCCTAGTTATGATATTGTACTATAGTTTAGAGAGATAGTACCATTGGGGGAAATGGGTAAGAGGTTGACATAATCTCTCCGGATTATTTCGTACAGCTTCCTGTGAATCTACAGTTATCTCAAAATAAAAAGATTAATTTTAAAAAATCAAAAGATGGAGGCAAAATCAGGGAAATAGGTATGTCAGTTGGTCAGTTATGGCATGAGCCTTAGAACCCTGACATCATAATGGCCAGTGATCTTGACGACTACGGAATCCTCAGGCTTCATGAACTAGTTTACAGAGCTCTGCCAAGGCCTGTAGACGTGCTTGGTTTTCAGTGCCAAGAATTGAAGAAAAAAGGATGTTCTCGTCAATCAAAAAGCACTTTGAGCTTTTAGGTGGTCGCTCAAGGCTTCACCGCATCAGGTAGTCTGTTAACATACTACTTTTGGTTGTCAGAAGAGACTAGCACTCACAGGAAGTGTTCTGTTTTGTTTCCTCTAAAATGTATGAACTAATTCTTCACTTCAGTACTGGTTTCATGAAAAGTTTCTCATGTTCATACGATTCAGTGCTGCTGAGCACAAGAGAAGAGGCTTTACAGTCTCAAGGGAGATACTTTCTTGGCTCCATGAGAGAAAATTTTCTGTGTGTCTATGAAAATATCTACCCTATTTATGAAAGAGTTTTTGTGTTCTGTTAAATTTAGTTGTTATACCTATTAGGACCAAAGAGTCATAGCTTAGAGCTTAGTTATGGCTCAACCAAATAATACCTAAGAATTTCCTTGTGTTTAGAAACTTTTTGATGTTTCCAGTATTATTTGCTGATCTTTGAGAATTTCCCCCAAAATTTGAATATTGATTTAGATAAGATTAGAGTCAATTTTCCAGAATCTTCAGTTACCTAAATTTTTATGTTAACATGAAACTAAATTGTAATTACTTTTTCACAAATCTCCATATCATTTTATTTTATCTATATCAGGCCACAAATTGTCCTGTTTTATTATTTTTACTTATTTTTTTATTTATTTATTTTTTTTACCTTCTTGTAATACTCTCTACCGTTGGCCTCTTGGTTCTCCCCTTCCCAACAGCTCATGACCAGCTTTGCTTTGCTGCCTTCTCCTCTTCCCCACCTCTAAAAGTTGGCATGCCCCAGAGCATGTCCTTGAAACTGTTCTCCATCTACCTCAACTCCCTAAGTGACCTCATCTCTTTCGATAGCTTTCTGTAACGCGGTGACTCTTGTGTTTGAGCTATGGAGCTCTGTTTTGGGGATTGAGACTGATTTTTAGTGTGGTGTCAACCTTGACATTTAGCATAAATGTCTATCAAACGTTTGGTCAGTGACTCGCTGTTCTGTGGTGCTTGATGTGTCGCAGGGGAAGCCCTTCTGTTGAGGTGGACGCCCACAGTGAAAATGCTACTTCACCTGAGGGCGCCGGTCGTACCCCGCTGATCCACAGCCCCGTAGAACTCAAAAGAGGCTGCAGGAAGGAGAAGCGGCACCTCTTCTTGTTCAGCGACTTGTTGCTTATAACTAATACCAAGTACGTATACACTACATGCTCTCCTGATTATCATAAAATTGCATTTTCACTAACTCTTACCATAAGAAAATACTAAGTGGTTTTTTTCTTTTGTTTTTCAAATGTTTTGATCCTTCCTTTATTCAATAAGTATCCATGGAGGTTTTGTTCTGTGCTATGTCCCTCTAGAGAATACAATTGAGAATGTGACTGGCAGGGTCTCTCCTGTCTGGGGCTTCCAGGCAGATGGTAAAATTAAGGGGGCGGGGGGACATTACAGATCAAAGTTAGTGCTTCTGATAAGAGACAGATAAGGTACCACGTGGAGGAGAAAACGGGACCATCCTGGAGAGGGGTTGTCTAGGAGGGCCTCTCCCAGCTGCCACCTATGGGGTAAGAAGCAGCCACCATTCCCAGACAAGGTGGCTGAGCCTTCGAGGGTGAGGGAACAGCAGGTCTCAGTGGGAGCCACTTGGCCCTTTGGAGGCAGGAGTCTAGGAAAGGCTGACACGACTGGAGCCTACAGTGTGGGGCACAACATCAGGGATGATCCTGTGGTCAGGGGTCCATTCACATGACATCTCCACAGGCCACAGTAACGGGTTGAAATATTATGCTGGAGGGTTTTTAATTAGGGAAGTGACCGTATCTGGTTTATACTTTTAGCATGTTGTTCTGCCTATTGGTAGATAATGGGTTGGTGGGTAAGCAAGAGTGGACGCAAGGAGACTCCTTAGGGGAGGCAATAGTCCTGATGAAAGATAACAAGGACTCCGTCTCAGGAGTGGCAGTGAAAAGGAAAGAGGCAGCAGACAGATGTGGAATATATGCTGGAGACAGAACCAATTGGGTGCACTTTCCACTCGACCCTGAACACAAATGCAACTAATATCCAGCCTAGACCATGGTGATGGCTCAACTACTGTCCAAAGCAGGTGGATGCAAGGTCGTCTTGCTTCATCTCTGTTTTCATGATTTATGAAACACCATAAAAGACAAAGAACATTTCAACAAACAAAATATCAAGAAGCTTTTTCACTACTAGAGAAAACTAAAACCCTTCTCTGCTGCCCTCCCCCCAGCTGCCAGTTACACCATGGCATAGGTAAGACATGCAAGTACTGATTTTGCCAAATGCTATATTTAATCTGAGTAACATGAATAAAAAGAGGAATGATTTATCAGAAGTTTATTCTGTGCCAGGTATTATGCTAAGGCCTTTATGTACCTAATCTTGTCTAATCCTTACAACTACCCTGTGAGATGGGATCATTTTCTGTATTTTACAGAGGACCTTGATGTTCAGAGGTCGCTTGCTTTCCCAGGTCACACATTAGCGATTAGTGGAGGCCACATTTGAAACTAGGTCTGTTAATTTCAGCACACAGGCTCTTACCCAACATGTGGTGCTGCCGCCTCTATTCTTTCTTTTGTCTGGATTTCACAGAACATTCCACAATCACCTAGTTTCTCTCTCATCATCGAAATCAACGTTTCCTGTGTGGTGAGGAAATGACTAACTCGCATCTGCTTGGTACCTGGTGAGAAATGGAACAGAATGCTCAGGCAACTGAAAAATGAATGAGAAGTCTAGCTATCAAAAAAAAAAAACAGAGGCAAAGATAAAGATAATGATATATATTTAAGATGAGTGAAATTGCCTACAGATGTAGCCGGGGAGGTGGTGATGTCATCATGAGGACAGAGAGAAAAAAGGTTCTGTCCATGTCTTGGCATGAGGTCCATTCGAAACACTCCGCTCCTGATAGAGGGACAAGACATTATTTTTAAAAATGTAGACTAGTTACCATTTTCTTTATTTAACCAAGGTGAGTATAGGAATCTGAAATTTATTGGATGTGTTCTCTAGGAGCATCACAGATGGCTTGTGTAGTCTTTCCAACAGCCCTCCGAGGCAGGTATTGTTATCATCTCCAGACTTCAGATATGAAGACGAAGACTGAGGACGGCTCAGGAACTGGCCCAACGTCATACACAGGAAAATGGTGGGAGAGACTCGCCCCAGGCCTGCCTTCATCCCAAGGCCGCGCTCTTCCTGCCACCATGTAGTACTCCATGCTCAGCCTGAGACACACACAAACAAGCAACCACTCACCCATCTCCTGCTTGTTAGGACTCTGCAGAACCACTCACATTCTATTTTTAAGGGGAACATGTTCTCCTTCACTTTTTTCTCACCTTTGTAATGATTATAGTATTTAGAAAGAGTAGAAGACCTTCGTTTTCTTACCAGAAGCCATTTATTGTCCCAGATATTGCTAATCTCTGAATGGGTTTTATAGAACGTACAGAATTCTGCTAAAAACATTTTATATAGAGACAGTGTTCTTTTCCCCTAGAAAATTGCACCTATTTAAGAGCTAAATTTGTATTTCAATTGGTCCATTATCATAAAAGATGTGCAATATCTTTCATTTTTCACATACTGCTTTTGAGATAGCTCTTTCTTTCTACTCAAGGGTTTTTATGATGTGACAAAATCTATATCAATTTATTTAATAATGTTCTTGTTTAAGAGACTCAGTTGCTGAAAGATTACTTTTATATACTTTCTACATCCACTGGGGATATCAGAACGTGTAAGTGATCTAAGGCATTTGAATTTGGTTTATAAGACCTTGATATTGAGAGAATACAGATTTTTGATAAGATACCTGTCTTAATCTGGTCAGGCTACCCTAACAAAATACCATAGACTGGTTGGCTAAAACCACAGAAATGTATTTTCTCACATTCTGGAGTTCTGGAAGTCTGTGATCAGGGTGCTAGAAGGGTTGGGTTCTGTAAGAGCTCTCCTTCTGGCTTGCAGAGGGCCTTCTTCTCACCCTGTGCTCACATGGCCTTTCCTCAGTGCGTGCATGTGGAGAGAGAGGTCTCTCTCTCCCTCTTCTTATAAGGTCCCCAATCCTATTGGATTAGGAGCCCCCCACCCCTTATGACCTCATTTAACCTTAATTACCTCTTATAAGCTTTATCTCCAAAAACAGTCATATGGGCAGTTAGGCCTTCAACATGTGAATTGCGGGGTGGGGATGGGGGTGGGGTGGGAGTTGGAGACACAATTCAATCCATAGCAGTAGCCAAACAGTACCGAATCCTGCCACTTTGTACAAGTTCTTACCACAATTTTTAGAAAACTACCTACTAGATCATTTCCATAGCTAACATTTGGGTACATTCGTGATTACTGTTAATATGAAAAAATTTACATTTTTTTTCAGAAAGAAACAACAACTACAAAGAAATAGCCCCCTAAAAGAGCAAGCTTATTTCTTTTTTGTCATGCCTCACTCTTAGATGGAGGATTGTGTTATGCCCTGGATCAATCTGTTCAAATTGATTACCTGAGTTTAGTGCCTCATTTTTCCACTCAGCCGTAAGCAGGGGTGGAGTGACTTAGGTTCCATTTTTCCTCAGCACATCTTCAGGCTTCAGTTGGAAACTCTTTCGTCTTTAGGTTGATGCTACAGAAATCAACACAAATGGAATAAATAGTTGACTAACTGCTGTCTATGTGTTAGTCAGAATAAGTGAAATTTGTGTGTAATAATAAAGGGGATTCAAATATTTCTCTCTTCATGAAGAAATTATATTTCTCCAGTTGTGCTGGATGTTAATAATAGTCAGTGAAAATTGTTGTGAGATTTTTGTCATTTTTTTCATACTACATTAGAAACTTCTCAAGAATTAAAGTCAGATGGGACCTTTGTTAATACTTTTGATATTCATTAGAAGCTAAATAAGAAGTTATTTTTGAAATGAAATTAAGACTTGTTTTTTTGAAACAGGATCTACTTCATAAATATCAAGATATTAACATTAGTAGAGGCCCGTGGAGAATTTACAGCAAAGGAGGGACTGTCCTTAGCTCACATCCTCTTTAGACATCTCTGTCCTCATATTTAGTTATTAAAGAATAAAGAAACAATGAAATCAGATTTTGTTTACATCAAAACATGAAGATGACTATTAGCTTATTTTCAGTGGAATTACAAACAGATTCTTACAGATACTCCCAAGCATCTAAGGGAACACTGCTATCTTAGAACAGGGGGAATCTCTCTAGAATCTGTACATGTCCACAGTTCACCGGCGCTCACCCTCCGGTATACAAGCTGAGGTAGAGGAAAGCAAGAGGGATACCGCCATCTTAGCAGATAAGAGAATGAGGGCCCACACAGTAGAAATAATAACTGCCATCTTCCTCCTCCTCCTCTGAGACAGTTTACATTAGGTTCATCCTTTCTCATTTCTATTGACATAATCTGAAGAGTCAGTGACTGATAGCAAAGAAACACAGTACCATCCCAGGAGAACCCACTGTAGTACAAGGCTTTGTTACAAAACATTTTCAATATTTTCAGGCTAGCTTTTAGCTTTATTGATAGAATGTCATGAGATTCATCCTCTCACTCTCAAAATGAGAGAACAATCTCATCAGAAAGCCTGAAGGCTCTGTGGAAAGAAAGGAGGCTGAAGGCAGGAAAGATGAGGAGGGTACTTCATGGAACTGGGCAGGTCAAGACTCATAGAGGCCAAGTGGTTATGAGCACAGGCTCATGAGTTAGGCTGTCTGGCTTCAAAGCCCGTCTCTGCTGCTTTGGGCAATTTACTTAACCTCTCAGTGAGTTTCTTCATCTATAAAATGGAGCTCATAGATGTAGTTGATTGAGGATTAAATGAAATAATGTTTATAAAATATTTAGAATGGTGCTTGGCATATGGTGAGAGCTCAATAAATGTTAGAGGAGGATGAAAACCATACTCTGGGCTTTTGGATAACTCTGTGGCTTGGTTTCAAGGGAGTGGATAATCTTGGCACTTTACTGAACTTAGGAGAGAATTATTGAAGTGACTTTTTCTAGGTCAATGTTTTGGAAGTTACCACTCAGTACCTTAGGTGTCTACACATGTGGACACCTACATTAGAAAACTTTAAAAATCTGTAAAAGCAAGCAGATATGTGTCTCTCTTTCCTATTGGCCTTCGTCTACTTTTAGCTTCCTAATGCTTTTGGAGTTACTATCTAGAAAAATTATTTTATGTGATAATTGATTGTGTTTCATAAAAATCTTCAAATACACCAACATAGGGTAAAAATGTGAAATACATGCAGAAAGAAGCCGCCTGTATCACAAGGCATGTTTCCATCTTATTTACATTCATTGTGCCCTATACTTTGAATCTAGATTATCCTTCAGGTGGGCTTCCTGTAAACTTATTTTCATTTCATAAATCCCATTGAAGCCTTTTAGTTTTGTTCCATGAATCAGCAGAGTCATAGGGGTTTTTGCACATGAGGTGGCTTGGATCACATTTTAGCTTTAGTGTTTCCACATGTGGTTCTGAACAGCAGGGAATTCCAGAGTGGTGTGCCCATCTTCCCTAGGCATCCTTCAGAGGGCTTGTAACTATTTAAATCTCAGGCCCATCTGAGAGTTAAATTTGTGAATTAACCAAGAGATATGGTGGTTTCCGTGTCAGAGTTCAAAGGAGATTAGGCAGAAATTGTCAGAAAGCAATTTCACTGCTGACAAAGTCGATCTCCTTCTGACTCCCCAAAGATAAATGGGAAATACCTCCATGACTTACATGTAAGACCTCCTGGCCACTAATTTGGGATTGATCGATCGATTGATTGATTGATTTTTAAGTTGGGTTCAGTCTGTACGCTAACAGTTTTTCAGTTTCAGCCAGACTCTAAGGGAAAATGGTATGAACAAAATCTTAAGCGAGGAAATTTAAAATAACCTATACTTAAAGGCTAGAAAATCTTTTTAAAAATTAAGGCTGAAAATGTATTTTAAATCCCTCTGATCCAAGCTTATTATTTTGTTTAATCTGTCTCTCTTAAGAAAAAAAGTGTATAATTATTTTTATAAATCATGTATCTTTGTTCAGCCCCTCAGATGCTTTTTGATGTAAGCAAGACATGAATGAATAGTAAATTAATTATCATAATTAATAAATTAATTAATAAAATTATATATGTGATATAATAATAAAGAACAAATAGAACTATATTAAATGAATACTAAATGAATTAATGGTTCTCTAATACAGCTCTAAAATATAGAGTATGGTCCGTACTCAATACTCAACATTCAGAAAAATGGCTATTTGCTGCCATCGAGAAAGTGTTCTCAGGGCCTTCCTGGGCCAGGGGTCCCTCAGCAGACGCTTTGTAAAGCCCCATCTAACCACTGGCTGAGCTGTGCACAGAGGGTAACAGAGAGAAAGGAGGCTTGCTTCTCCCCGGAGCCGTGAGAATTGGCTTCTTACCGTGAGCACAGCTGTTCCCATAACACTTAAGAAACAAACTAACAGAGGTCTTGTTTGGTGATCTTTCTAGTTACCAAAAAACCCTAAAGATAGAAAATGAAATACCATTGAACACCATATGGACTGCCAACTGTTCGGACGAAGTGGGGGAAGCCAACACCTGTGCCAGCAGGTCCTTTGTCTTGGGCTGGCCCACGGTGACCTTCGTGGCCACCTTCAGGTAAGACCCACAGCTTGGCCCTGTATTTACATGGGTTGAAAAGGAAAACATTTTAATCTGATTGTATATTAAGCCAGTGGCTCACTTTTTGACCTCTCATAATGACACTGTGTGTCTGGTACTTTCCCCAAAAAGGTTTTTATGTGCACATGTGTGCAAATTGATCACAAATAGTGGGAACTATTGGAGTAATTTCCTTTGGTTTGGATCAGTGGTTTTTCAAATGGGCTCTAGGAGTACTTGGGGACGTGGATGTTCAAAGCATGTGGAAGGAGAATCGAGAGAGCAGGGTGCTAGGGACCCTCTCCAACATCCTGCCCCTAATCCCCAGGGAGCAGCTGTGTTTTTAAATCACTGGAATATCTTCTTAAGCAAGTACTACTAAATAGTCCAATTAAGTTTGAAAAATTGCTTTGTAATCCCAAATTAGTTCCCTTAAAAATAGTATTTAATTATACAAATAAAATGAATCATGTCCTCAAATACTAGGTTGCCTGAATTGCTGTGTGCATATTATCTGGTGTCTATAGAAAGGTGACAATCTAAAACAAAGGTATGATTCCATGGAGTACAAGTTAGTTTTCCAAGACACATTCTTAGGCTGGCATGAGAATGGGGAATGTGGCCCCCCACCCTGGACATCCTGAGTCAACACTCCTGGGTTCACAGGGCTCCTTCTTTATATTTGAATAGCACTGCCAGCTGCAGGAACACTCTGAGGTATAATTAACCCTTTTCCCGTTCTGGAAACTGAAACTCAGAGTGGTTAAGTGACTTGCCCATGATCACATAGTTTGCATCCCATAGTTGCAATTAAGTGTTTAGATTCCAAACCAACATCTCTTCACCTTAAGATCTATTTCCCATTGCTGTAATACTGCTTGTAAAAGTGCAGGGTCCATCAAAAGCCGAATGATAAGGAGAGTACAGCTTACACAGGCATCCACATCAGTGATAACTGGCTGCTGATGGTTTCATCTGGAATGGCAGTCTTAATGTGTTAGTAGAAGTATTTTATGTAGTTTAATTTTTTTCTCTCATTTTTTTAAATTGCAGTTCTTCAGAACTAAAGGAAAAATGGCACTCTTCCCTTCAAAGGTATTTTGTCAGCATACATATTTTAAATCTTTGATCCACGATGAAAGAATGCAGATTTCTTCAAAGCAGTGCCCTCAAACTATTCTCCCTCTTCCTAGTAGAAATTGACCATCCTCAAATAACTTCCTGTTTAGATTTACCCTGGCTGCTACTGCAAATACTGTCCTCTCATTTACATGCATGTTTTGCTTATTTTTGAGGAAGTTCTGCTGATCACTCTCACCTTCCCCTTCTCTCCAACCTAATGACTGGAGATGACATTATTCTCAAAACACACATTGAACTCCCTTAGAGCAGATTACTCTACTGAGTGATTCTCGGAGCAACTGCTACTTCCTGCCCTTGAACCAAGGAATGTGCTGGGCCCTCCAATCTGGGCAGGAAAGCTCTGACGTCTGGATCTGCTGCCCAAATCTCACAGGACAGGGGCAACCTGTTATTTTCCGGTCACATCTTATTCTCCTGAAATATTTTGCATAGTCTTCCAACCCATAATTTGATTTTGCTGAGTCTATTTATATGCTTTTAAAAATAGCCAAGTACATTGAAAATGTTAGCAATGTAGATTGATTTGAAAATAAGTTAATAGCTAATTCATTCTACTCTATTTTGGGTTATTATTGAATTTGATTAGGTACATCAATCTAGCCAAAGAGAAGGACCAGCCAAAAAGCATTCCCCTCAAAATCTTCACTGAGGACATTAAGAACTGTGTCTGTGTAAGTATTTTTTAAGACCAAAAATTAAATTCCAAGTTCCTGATTTGGGCAGAATGAAAGAGAGAGACATAGACATGGACAAAGACATAGAGAGATAGAGATAGAAATAGAGAGAGAGAGAGAGACACAGATAGGAGGGGGAGATGGGGAGGGAGGAGGGAGAAAGGAAGAGAGGGGAAGAGAGCGAATTTAGAAAGTACCATGTGGGAAAATGTATTTTCCTGTGTACACATCGTGTCTATAAAACATGAATCCTAGGCAATATGAAGCATGAGGAATCTGTGATAGCTACAGTGCTTAAGCATGGAAAGAATACTGCATGTTAAGTGTCCATAATGTTTCTCTGGATCCTTCCAGTGGCAATTATAGTGGCTTGTTGTAGTAAAGTGACTTTCACAGGCAGGTATTTCCTATTAGAATGAAACATTTTTTCCAGTTGTTGCTACTTCCATACAGAGTGGTCTGGGTTGTTTCCACAGTTTTTTTCTTCCCATGATGTTTTATTTGGAATAATTGTAAACTTACAGAAAAGCTGCAAAAATAAAAATAGTGTAAAGAACACCCATACACCCTTCGGCTAGATTGATCTATTTAGTAACATTTTACTCCATTTGCTTTATCATTTATTTTCTGTCCCTGTCTGTCTCTCCTTCTCTCTATTGTGCATGAGGATACCTATTTTTGAGGGTCACACATACACCATGGCCCTTAAATACTTCGGTATGTCCTAAGAATAAGGATATTCTCTTATATAACACCATACAGTTATCACCTTTAGGACATTTAACATTGGTGTAATACTTTAATCTACCATTCACGTTCCCATTTTGTCGGTTGACCTCAGGAATGTCCCTTTTCCGTAGAGAATCCACTGGAGGGTCAGGTATTGCAGTTAGTTGTTATGCCAAATGCAGAGGAGTTTTGAAAGGTCTTTCATTCTGAGGAATGTCAGCACTGAATTGAGCTGAGAGGGATGACACTTTTAAGGGAGCAGCAAATTTCTACCTTATTGTGTTTATACTATTGGGGAAAAAAAACCTACACCTCCGTTATTTGTGTGTAATTTGATCTCTGAAATTGTACTGCAGGAGCCAGGACATTTACCCTACTGAGCGAGATATTCGGGGTATTTTTTATGACACTTTGTTCTGTTACACTTTACAGGAGCTCCCGCTCACACAAAATAGTATGTGAAGGTGGAAAAAGAGGTGGTTTAAGACAGTTCTTTCTCTGGCCAATGGGAAAAGCCAATGGGAAAATCCATGTAAATATTCTGATCTGTTTCCGAGTATCAGAGAGATGCCTTGCTGGAGGGAGATATGACTAGAGAGTTCCCTAGCAAAGCACACTATTGTCTCTGCCTGCTTTGATGTCAGTTATGGCAGTGCCTCACATTCAGAATTTTTCATGGAAAATCACCTTGAAATTTTTAAAAATCAACTTTATTTACATATGCTTTACACAAAATAAACATTTCTAATGTTCTTCATTCATTCCTGAAGATCTAAGTTTCCCTCTAATACTACTTCATTTCATCCTGGAGAAACTCTCCGTAGCAATTCTTGTTGTGCAGATCTGGTGCCAATAGATTTTCTTAGTTTCTTTTATCTGAAAATGTCTTTATTTCACCTTCACTCTTGGAAGATATTTTTGCTGGATATAGAATTTTGTTTGCAAATTTTTTCATTTCAACACTTTGAAGATGTTCCACTGTCTTTTGGTCTCTGTGCTTTCTGAAGAGTACTCTGTGATCATTCAGACATTAATCCTCTGTATGTGATTGGTCATTTGTCTTCAGCTGCTTTCAAGATTTTCTCTTTAATTTTGGTTTTTAGCAGTGTGGCTACGAAGTGTCAAATCATGGTTTTCTTTGAATCTAGCCTGTTTGGCCTTTTCTGAACTTCTTGAATTTTTAAATTTGTGTCTTTATGTATGTAAATTATGTCTCAAGTTTGCGAAATTTTAGTCCTTATTACCTTATATTATTTTCTTGCCAATATTCTCTCTTCTTTCCTTCTGAGAATCCAGTTACATGTATATGAGACCTTTTCATATTGTCCACAGGTCCCTCAGGCTCTGCTAATTTTTTTCAATCTTTTTTTCCCTTTTTATTCTTCAAACTGGATAACTTCTATTACTTATTTTCAAAATCGCTGACTCTTCCATTTGTCATCTTCATTATGTAATTTAGCCCATCCAGTAAATTTTTTCTTTCAGATATTTTTCAGATAAAAAATTTCTATTTTTCAATATTTTCAGTTTCTACACTGAGACTGCTTATTTTTGTTTATTATGACCATATTTTCACTTATATAATTAAGCATAATTGTAATCGCTGTTTTGGGCTAATAATTTGAACATTCAGATCATCTCAGGATTGGCCTCAACTCTTGAGAATTGATCACATTGTCCTGGTTCTGCATATATCAAGTAACACTGTAGCTCATATGAAAAAAAAGTCACATTTCCATTTTTTTTCAGATTATTTGATAAAATAGTTTATTTTTTTAAGTTATTTGTCTACAAAAAGCTGTATCTACTGGAATTTATCTGTTTTGGAGAACAGACAACATGCAGGAAGAAATACATATATCCTTGGAATTACTATTTTGAACATAATATGTTCCTTATGCCATGAAAAACCATTATCTTACAGCCCAGATAAATTAGGTAGTAATTATTAGCATTGCAAAAGAGATTTTTTTTACTTTACAAAAGATTTCGTGGGAGAATTTTTAAGTTGTATTGAATGGTTTTCAGACATCTTAAAAAATAGCAGAACTGTTACTTATTAAACCCCAAGCTAAAGCCCAGTGTTTGAATCCTCCCAGAAAATTTAGCACAGGAAACTCCCAACGTCCCCGAATTTGGGTACTCTGAGCTCTATGCTGGGTTCTGAAACACTTTTTCACAATCCTTAGGGCTACAGCAGTTTGAAATCAATGAATGCTTTTGTTGATAAAAGTTCAATTATCAAACAACTTTCAGGGCCATCTGTCATCTCAAGCAATTGAATTGAATTCATAAGAAGAAAAATAAAACGAAAGGACAAGTAATGAAATATGAAAGAATTTCCTTCAACTTTGTTTTTGATATCATTTTTAAGGCCTGGGAATGTCCCCTCATGCTGTCTGTCTTCTTTAAGCAGTTTATCAAAGGACACAGGCTTATTGCCTGATAATATTATAAAACCTATGTGCATAGTAAACGTTCTTGGTTACATTTTGTCTTATTTTAATATGTCTTTTGGAATTCAGATAGTTTGATGGATATTACCTCAGAATACTATTAATCCCTTTCAGGTACTTTTCTGTAAATCGTCTTCCTATTTTGATGGAGCAGTTTCTCAATGGGAGGTGTGGCAGAGAGCTATTATGAATACCCTATTCACTGGCAGAGTTGGGAATGGAATTTAAGTTTCTAAAATTTTTAGTCTCATTTCCTAGACTCATTGGTTTTATTTCACTGTCTCAACAGATTTCAACAATGAAAACTTAGTAACCATGATGCCTGACACAAAGAAAGTACTCACTAAATAGTTTTTAAAAATGTCTCTTCTAGCCAGTTCTTAATCTGATTTTACTGTAAAGAAATAAAGCCATACTACAAAAACACAACTCAGGAAGAGAAAGAGTCCAGCTCCTCCTTTTTAAACTATTGCCCTTCCATTACAGAAATAGCGTTAAGGCTCTGAGGACCAGCCCATGTGCCCTCTGGGAATTCTCAGTCTTTCTCTTTCTTGCTTAAGTTGTTACATGTTGTGTGCCACAAATCCTTTAAGAGAAATATATGTTTTACTGAAACGCTTCCTGCTAGCTTCATGTTATATAAAGGAATGAAAGTAAATTATAATTAGGGGTTCATGCTCTACATGTGCTATACTTCGTCATTACCTGAAAACAAGCTTGCCTTTAGAGTACGGATAGTCATTTGACAACAAATTATTTACTCACCTGCTTTAAAGTTTTTAAATTTAAATTATAGCAATTTTTATCATTTATTTTTTTACAGTCTGTAACTGTAACAGTAACAAATTCAGACACAGTGAATGACACTATCAACAAGTCACTACCAATGCTAGGAATAACTGTAAGTTACCTGCAAGCTATTTTTACTTAAAAAACAACTTTGATTTTTGAGATTCGTGTGTGTGTGTGTGTGTGTGTGTGTGTGTGTGTAATGCAGCTCCCATCATGACAACCAGTTACTATAGATATCAAAGTCATATTTTTTCCCCCCTCCAGATTTGGAAATTGAAGGCAGCAAAGCTATTAGCCTACACATGGGTGTTACTCTTGTATTCCCACTTAAAATTTTGTGCAAATGGAAAGTAATAGCATAATAAAATTGGGCTATAATTTTAGAGTGCTAATAACAACACACATTTTTACTGTACATATTTTATATGTAGATAGTAAAATATTTATAAAAGTCTAAATATTTCCTCCTCCACTGGACTGTTCTTTCTGTATCTTCTTTCCTGATTCCTTCCCTCCCACCCCCATTTTCCCGGTTATCACTCAAGGACTCAATCTATAGGACTTTGTCTATGATAAATCCTAAATAACACGTTTTGTTGTAAATTTTGACATAAAGACCACCTGGCTAGAAGCTACATGCTCTTGATGCAGATCCTGAGAATGAGATGGCTGATGCCTCTTGTGAACTGGTAAAGGAGGAGACAAGTTCTAAATAAGACCATGAAGCTGGGTGCACTTGTGTACACATCACTTTCATCCCGTTCTGCTTTTAAGTGTCTGTTCCTTGATGTTTTGATGGGGCTGGTGTGAGTTGTTGAAATTTTTTTGGTGAAAGAGGTGGGTATATTTGAGGATGAGGCTGTATAAGGGAAAAGAGAGAAAGAGTGACATTCAGAGGGACAGAAATGAAGGAAGCACTTCTAAAGCACAACTCCTTATGTAAAATTCTATGTCAATGTAAAAATGTCCTGCTACTGTGACATGACATAATTACAAGATTTGTATTTAAATTTTGCCTGACCCAATGGTATAATAAAGCTCCTTAAAAACTAAGGGCAACCAGAATTTGCCATAAGAAATCAATGATTTCTGTGCAAACAATTTAATAATACATTTGAAATGAGATGGAATTTATATGCACAGAGTAAAGCACACTTCTGCATCGATTTCTAACCTATGTGATATATATGCCCTGAATGACAATTACATCTTGGAAGAGAGTGAGTGTTTTTAGGGATGAGGTTGGGGAGACAGATTAATGTATAGCTCATTTTATTTCGTGTTTGTAATTTTCCTTTGCTTAAGGTGATCAATCTCACTAGACAAGAACAAATTTCTATTTTATTGAAGAATTGGGGTTATTTGGCCATATATGTATGCCTGATTTAAGAGAGTCCAACATAGTGTTTCTAATCCCTACTTTAAAAAAAAAAGATTTTTGTTAGCTTTCACTTCCTATTTGCAACACAATATTGAGCGGATTTAGCTGTGCGTGCATGTGTCTGCGTGTGTGTCTAGGGGTGTGTGTGTGTGTGTGTGTGTGTGAGATTGCTGCCATAGCTGGGACCCTTCTTCATAGGGTCAAGGCCATGATTTTTAATCAGGAGTCAGGGGCAAGCACAGTACCTATCACCAACAACTCCACGTAAAACATTTTTTGCTTTATCCTTTCCTGGAGGACTCTTTAAAATAATTCAGCAGTCTTCATAATTTAGACTTGTTTGTTTCAAGTAGGATTTACAGTATTACTGGGCAATAGTTCTGCTGGGAGTGACTGTCTTCTTCATCTGACTTGTTCTCTCGGTTACATTTCTTGTCCCTACTTTCCCTAGAGTGGGGCTTTTCTGCACCAGAGTTAGTGTGCTGACCTCACTCTGCCATCTCCCCAAGGCCTCCTGGGCACCTGTCTCCTAGTGTGCAGGGTTGCTGAGCTATTGAGACCTTTCAAGTGTTACGTTCTAAGAAACAGTCATGGCAGGGTGTATGGCTCTCTGGACAACATGCTTGTCTGGGCAGGGGCATTTGAAGGCAAAAGCCAACCGTCTCCAAGGAGTCTGGAGATAGCAGAAGGCAGGACTCTTGAGATTAGACTTTTGCTCCTTAGTGAAAGGGGCATAACTGATTTCTTACGCCACAGGCCACCCCCAAAGTGAGGGGCTGATTGGAAATATGGTTCCGTAGATCCTGGGCCTTTATCAAAAGGGACAAGAACCTGGGACAGTCTGTTGGAGGCTGTGCAAGAGACGAGGGGTTACTGAAACCAGCACTGTTGACTCAAAAACTGTAGCCACCCCCATGGACCGAAGAGCATTTATACTGGCCCCAATTTTTCTTTTTGGAAACCGAAATGCTAAGGAAATGGTACCTACTGTGAAAGATTTAGTGTGATGCATAGTTCTTTTTGTTTCCAAGGGCTCTGAGAAAGATTACCAGCTGTGGATCAGTTCTGGCAAGGAAGAGGCCCCATGCCCACTCACTGGTAAGTGTCAGAGAAAAATCTAAGAGGGGTGGACTGGGTTCAAAATTGTAACTCTGAAGTGTCAAAGTAAGGATTGCTCGGTCTCAAGCTCAAATATCCTTAAAAGTGAAAATTTCATGCAATATTCATTCACACATTTATTAAATAATTACCAAGCACTTACTCTATCCCAGGCACTGATAACATCTCTTCATTCAGCAGCTTATGGTCTATTTGGGGAGAGAAATGTGAATTTTTCTTCTCTGCTTTTTTACTTGACAAACAGAGCTGTCTTGAAAAACTTTTACTTACTCTGGTATGATAGCAAGATGGATTGGAATTTCTTTTCCCATATATTTATGTTTTTATATTCCAGTCTTGAATTCCTCTGTTCCATTTCCTAACTGCTAAGTAGCCTCTATTGTGTGAAAATCCTCAAAAATCCAGTCATAACTCTGAATCCAAGTACAAATATTTATTTAACACCTGCTCTGTGTCTGGAACTTTTCTCAGCATCATAAAGAAAATGAGACAATCACAGTTAGACTCCTCAAGTCTTCACTGACTAAACTACCTGTACGTTGCTGTGTCTCAGGCTGAGTTTTCCAGCATTGTTCTCGAGGTTATTGATAAACAGATTACACCTCTCCTAAAGTAGTTATTAGAGCAAGTTAGCTAAAAGAATAGGAATAATTCTTGGAGCGGAAGATTGGTTCAGTGTGGTTCACGGAACTGGAGGGATCAGGACAGGGGCAAGGACAGGACGTGCAGCAGACCTTGCAGCGGAGCAACGGGGATGGCACGTTCTGCGGGACATCTCAGAGCAGCCCTTCTTACATGCACTAGCTTGTTCTTTTTTATCCTTTCAACGATCCTGTGAGGCTGTAACTCTTTTTCAAGTGATCTGCAGAATGTTTTCAAGTCATGTGGAAAATCTAAACAACCAGGTTTTTTCTTTGAAATGTATATTTTCAGTCTTTAGGGAGTCACCAAGTACACATCTGAGGACAAAATCCCCCTACCCATTTCGTGTTTTTTTATTATTGTTGACTGACTTCATAAAAGTCAGTCAGCAATAAAGTGAAAAAGATCAAATAAACACTTAAATATATTTATTTTAATAAAATGCATTAATTTAGATAAAACAACGTAGATGATAACTTTTAGGCTAAGAACAGCTTCACACACCATGGCTAGCTGTAAGGAATCCTAAAAGCCTGTCCTTCATGAGGATCCCTTAGCAGCTATTTTGAACACATTTTTTAACATGCTCTCAGTCCTCAACTGTGGATTAACTCCTCAATATCCTGGTGATTTGGTTGCATTTTACTGCTGTCATAGAAGCTTCTTTTGTCTTAAAAGATGGCTGGAAGTCACTGTGATTCTTGTTCTGAAAGGAGCATTGACACTGTAACTACACCAGATGAAAAGGAAAAGCAAGAGCTCCCCAAGTTACATTCAATAATAAATCAGAAACAAAAGAAAGAGAACTTTCATTCTCCAGGCCACCTTGGAGATGTTAGGCGTTCGGTTCCCAACCACCACAATCAAGCGAATATTGCAATAAAACAAGTCACATGAATTTTTTGGTTTCCCGGTACATATAAAAATTATGTTTACACTATACTGTAGTCTATTAAGTGTGCAATAGAATTATGTCTAAAAGAATGTGCATACCTTAATTAAAAAATACTTTATTGCTAAAAAATGCTAATCATCATCTGAGCCTTCAGTGAGTCATAATCTTTTTGCTGGTGGAGGGTCTTGCCTCCATGTTGGTGGCTGCTGACTGATCAGGGCGGTGGCTGCTGAAGGCTGGGGTGGCTGTGGCAATTTCTTAAAATAAGACAACAATGAAGTTTGCTGCATCGATTGGCTCTTCCTTTCATGAACAATTTCTCTGTAGCCTGCGAGACTGTCTGATAGTACTTTAACCACACTACTGTGGTTAAAAACTACTTTCAAAATTGGAATTAATTCTCTCAAACACTGCTGCTGCTTTCTCAACTAAGTTTGTGTGATATTCTAAATCCTTTGTTGTCATTTCAACAGTCTTCACAGCATCTTCACCAGGAGTAGATTTCATCTCAAGAAACCACTTTCCTTGCTCATCCATAAGAAGCAACTCCTTATCTGTTAAAGTTTAACATGAGATGGCAGCAATTCAGTCACATCTTCAAGCTCCACTTCTAATTCTAGATTCTTGCTATTTCCACCACATCTGCAGTTCCTTCCTCCACTGAAGTCTTGAACTCCTCAATGTCATCCATGAAGGTTGGAGTCAACTTCTCATAAACTCCTGTTAATGTTGATATTTTGACCTCTTCTCATAAATCACAAATATTCGTAATGGCATCTAGAATGGTGAATCCTTTCCAGAAGATTTCCAAGTGACTTGCCCAGATCCATCAGAGGAGTCACTATCTATAGCACCTATAGCCTTACGAAATGTATTTCTTAAATAGTAAGACTTGCAAGTTGAAATTACCCTTCATCCATGAGCTACAGAATGGATGTTGAGTTAGCAGGCATGGAAAGAACATTATTTGCAATGTACATCTCTATCAGAGCTCTTGGGTGACCAGGTACATTGTCAGTGAGCAGTAATATTTTGAAAAAAATCTTTTTTTTTTTTTTTTCTGAGCAGTAGATCTCAACAGTGGGCTTAAAATATTCAGTAAACCATGTTGTAAACAGATGTGCTGTCATCCAGGCTTTGTAGGGCCATTCATAGAGCACAGGTGGAGTGGATTTAGCATAATTCTTAAGGGCCCTAGAATTTTCAGAATGGTAAATCAGCATTGACTTCAACTTAAAGTCACCAGCTGCATTAGCCCCTAACAAGAGAGTCAGCCTGTCCTTTGAAGTTTTGAAGCCAGGCATTGACTTCTCCTGTCTAGCTATGAAGTCCTAGATGACATCATCTTCCAATATAAGGCTGTTTCATCTAATTGAAAATCTGTTGTTTAGTGTAGCCACCTTCATTACATATCTTAGCTAGATCTGGAGAACTTGCTGCGGCTTCCACATCAGCACTTGCTGCTTCCCCTTGCACTTTTCTATTATGGAGATGGCTTCTCTCCTTCAACCTCATGAACCAACCTCTGCTGGCTTCAAATTTTCTTCTGCAGCTTCCTCCCCTCTCTCAGCCTTCATAGAATTGAAGAGAGTTAGGGCCTTGCTCTGGATGAGGCTTTGGTTGAAGGGACTGTCGTAGCTGGTTTGATCTCCTATCCCGACCACTAAAACTGTCTCCATATCAGCAATAAGGCTGTTTCCCTTTCTTCTCATTTGTGTGTTCACTGGAGTAGCACTTCTAATTTCCTTCAAGAACTTTTCCTTTGCGTTCACAACTTGGCTAACTCTTTGGTACAAGAGGCCTTGCTTTCAGCCTATCTCAGCTTTAAACATGCCTTCCTCTCTAAACTTAATCATTTCTAGCTTTTGATTTAAAATGAGAGACGTGTGACTCTTCCTCTCACTTGAACACTTAGAGGCCATTGTAGGGTTATTATTTGGCCTAATTTCAATATTGTTGTGTCTCAGGGAATAGGGAGGCCCGAGGAGAGGGAGAGAAATGGGGAACAGGTCAGTGGAGCAGTCAGACCACATACAACATTTATCGATTAAGTTCTCCATCTTATATGGGCGCAGTTTGTGGCAAATTATTACAAAAAATTACAACAGTAACATCAAAGATCACTGATCACAGATCACCACAACAACTATAATAATAATGAAAAAGACTGAAATATTGTGAGAATTACCAAAATATGACACAGAGACATGAAGTGAGCAAATGCCATTGGAAAAATGGTGCCAATAGACTTGCTCGACACATGGTTGCCACAAATTCTCAATTTGAAAAAGCGCAATATCTGTGAAATGCAGTAAAGTGAAGCATGATAAACCGAGGCATGCCTGTATTCTTAAAAAGTGAAATCCGTGCTACAGTCCTGGAGAAAAATGAAATTCTCCATGGGGAATTCTATGGAGAGGAAGCAATTTAAAGCATGAAAGAGCAAAACAAATCACTCGGCAGGCAACTCCAGATGATTTTGGGTGCAGTTTTCCACTCTGGAAACACTGTTTTGCATTTTGCTTCTGGGTTTCCAACACCGTGCAGCCTCCCTCTGATTACTGCCTGGCAGGGCCCGTGGAGGGTGGGCTGCAGTGGGAGGGAAGCAGAAGGCAAACCCCACTGCTGCTCTGAGTAGCCCTGTCTGTAGAATTGACAAAAGGAAATGGAAAATCTGTTTGTTAAACTGACATCACGTGGGAGAGAACAGTGATCACAACAACTCTGAACGTATATAGTCCGATTATTTAAAAAACATTGACCACCGATGTTTAGTAATATATTTTCTTTGATCCTTATAAGTCTGTGTGAGGGTAAGCATTTAAAAGGATGAATATAAGGCTCAGAGAGGTCAAGTAACTTGCCTAAGATGTACAGATCTAGTGAGTATCAAGGCAGAAACTAGAAGGCCTTAAGTATTCTTAGAGGGAAACACAGCAAAAGTCAACACGGTGCTACGCCCTGGCGGATCTATGCATTCCACAGGAAGCGACGTGTTTAAAAAATTTTTTCTCTTTACTTTTTAAACAATTCTGCTTGGGCACCTGCTGTTTGCAAGGTGTCCCCCACAAGGGTGCACATGGGGTGTGCATGGTGCTCCCTCAGGAGGCACAGCCTTCTCCATCCAGAAGCTCCGAAGTACGGCAGCACACAGCAGTGTGGCACACACGCTCACAGTCCGGAGGTTTGATCACGCCCTTCACCATCATCCTGGATCTATATTTAGATTTTTCTCCATACAGGGCATGAACATCCCTATGGAATTAAAATGAGCCATCTTCCAGCTACTGTGCTCCTGCCACAGGGACCAGAGGACTCCGCCTCTCCTTCCACCCTCCAGGAGTTCCCAGAGATGCCAGGCCAGTTCATCTTGAAGCCCAGGCACCCAGCCAGGAACCAGCAGGGGAGAGGTGAGCCCCTTCCCTTCCTGCAAGTGCCTTCTCTTGGCTCATGTCTCCACTCCTCAAAACAAACTCATGACTTAGAGCTGATTCTCCACGTGTGGGTGGAGGGACAGTATAGGCAGGAACCCAACACCCACCCAGAATCAAGCTTAGAGAAACCCCAAAGGTCTGAAATTAAGACTCAACTCAATTCTAGGAAGGTTTTTATTTTTAATCCTCTAGGTAGGCAGTTGCTCCCTTCTCTGTATCCCCAGAGCACCGTCTACATGTAACTATGTGTGTCCACGTCTGTGTGTCTCATAAGAGTATGTGCTTCTTACGGCTGGGAACGTGTCTTCCCCGTCCCCGGATTTTGTCCAGTATCTCAGTCCATCACAGGAGGTGATCAGATGACCACATGGCTTAGACACACCCAGAATAAAAGAACTCCAGTGGAGCAAAGAGTTCTGGAATTGAATTGGAACCTATTCTGGGTTTAGGCTAAAGTGGCCTGGGGGTTCCAGTTAGAATTGAACTCTCAATTCTGCCTCCACAGCAAGCTCACGTCTGCTTCAGACCCAGGTTGAGACTGAAACTAGACTGAATATTTATGGTCAGGGCTTTTCTATCTTCCTTCTGGACACTTTTTCCCTACCATTCCAATATTCTCCCATTGATATTTCTTTTTCTGAAGAAAACATTTTATTTATTTGGTAAGTATTTGGGCCAGAATAGAATTTCTACTTAAAGTATTTTTATTGTTATGATTGTTATTCTATAAGCACAAAGTTTCAAAAAATTTATTTTTTAACACACCCTAATTTGAACATGAGGAATCACTAACCTAAATCTTGCCAAGACTGTTTAAGAGAAGCTAGGTTTCTATAAAGTTAGTTTAGTTAATCATTCCCGTATTTTTCGTGGCTATAGCATATATTTTTACTGGTCAGAGAGTCAAAATGAACTCCAACACCAAGTAATATAGATTACCAAAGGTCCAGCTAAGCCTGAAAATATTCTTGAGAAAGTACAGGACTCAATGTCTATCTGCTTTCTGCCTCTGCTCCTAAGAGTAGCTGGATATATAGCTTTGTATCGAGGGATAGAGCACTCTTCTTAAGAGTATTGTTATTAAAGCTGAATAATGGAATACATTTGGATAGTTTCAGAAATAATAAAATCAGGTTAAGAGTCGGGAAACCAGGTTGCATACAATAACTCAACTTATATATTAACATGTATCTTAGACAAACATTTGTTCATGTTGACATACAGGAATCTCCTCCTGGATTTAAGAATGTATTTGCTTTCTTCTCTCTTTTTAAAACGGTGGAGGTATGAATGTCAGGCAGGAAGAAAGAGCCTTAGTTAGTGGTATTACTTCACGACTGCATACGTTCTGGAGGCTGCAAAATCAAATGAAGAATGGGAGGGGTCTGTGCTGCAAGGAGGAGATTGATGTCTAGGCTGCCTTAGGCCCTCTGAGTGAGGGAAATTACTCTTGTCAAGGCTGCTATGAGCCATGCCTTGTGCTGAGTGGTACATTATATTATTCAGTCCAATGAAGTGTAGGTAGCATCATTTATGTTAAAGTTGAGCAAACCAAAGCTCAAAGAGTTTTGAGGAAACTTATCCAACTAAATGGCGGAGAACCAGAAGGTTCTCTGATCCTGATCTCTGTTCCAGCGCCAGGAGCATTGCACTCATGTGAGTGGATGTGGAGAGGCACTCACTACTTCCCAGAAAAGCCAAGTGGACGAGCGTTTAAGAATATTTGGTGAACTGTTGCTCAGCCGTTTATCTTTCTACAAGTTGGCTCTTGTGTTGATGTTTTAAGTATTCGGTATGAGAACGTTATTGAAACAAATGTTAAGGTACCTTATTAGGAAAACATTCATAGCTGAGCAGTAGAAACTTTGAACTCAGCATATCACGTTTACTTTGAGAAGCTCTTCTTCAGCATTCCTTTCAGAGGGGCTGCTGGGTAGTGAAAAATCATCTCTGGGTAGCTGGGTGGGGTGCCACAAGAAGCAAGGCCACCTGGAGTCTTACCACATAGCCAGCATTTAATGACTACACCCCAAAGACACTGACTGCAGAAGGTCATCCATGGAGATGGCAGACAGTTGTGGCCCCCCAGAGCAGAGGGTACAGAGGCTGGCTTAGAAGTGGGCTGAGGCAGGTTGTGTCATGAAAGGCAGATCTTGTTGAAGGCAAGTTGACCATGGCTAGCATTCAGAACACAAACAGAAAATCTAAGAGTGGGTGGAGACTTACTATAAAAGTAAATGATTGCTAAGGTTTGCTTGGTTTGAAAATCTGGTTAGCTTTTAAAAGGTGGTGTGAATCCACTGCTCCTAGTTAGCATCAGAAAACACGTCCAACTGCAGGTTAAGTGTCTCATGACGCGGCTCAACAGGCAGGAGACAGCACTGTCTAGCAAGTACTTCCACTGGAAGAATTGACCCTGAGTCTGATCAAGCCTCTAGGTTTCACCCCCCGTTTGCAGGATGTGGGGAAGAAGAACACGTTAACACCACAGGGATGCAATTAGCCAATTTCAGAACGTTGGAAATCCAACACACACAAAACTGACTCAGTTTCTCTCTCTTCCAGCCATCGCAATGAACATGCTGTAAGATGGAAATGGTAAAAATCAGGTTCAGTGACTTAAACTAACTACTAATTATGATCTCACTTCTTCCTTAGATTCAGGCCAGAAGTCAGCTAAAATGAATTCTCTGGGCAACTGGGCCTCTTGGCAGGGCTCCGGCACCGGGGGGGACCTCCGGGGCACACCTCCACCGTCCGCAAAGCCGGGACAGCTCTTCGGCGTTGGCCTCCAGAATGTGTGTGACAACGACAATCTGCCCGCCTCCATTCTGGTGGGTCTCACTTTGGTCTTCTGCAGCTCTCCTGAGGAGGGGAACTCTGAGAGGTCAAGAGTTCTCATCCGAATCTACCCCCAAGTGGAGAAATCATTAGACAGTCCCTGGCTTTGGGGAGAAGTCTGCTAATATTACTTCAAAGAACAAAATCTGATTTAGGTGCTGCAGAGTCATAAGGCAAACACAAAAGAATATATATACCCTTATCCCTTCCACAGCTTTCAGCCAAGACCCGCACACGCCTGCTGAGATCAAGCAAAATGGGCTCTGTGCGTGTATCAGTCTCTGAGAGTCCCCCTCCTCCTCATCTTCTCTTTTATCTCCTTCCCTCAACTCCACACTGGTCTCCATTCTCCTTCAGCTGAGTCTCCTCAATCCCACAACTCAAAATCTCTCACATGGACTTGATCTGTGTTTCCAGTGCTCACGCACAAAGACTCATCTCCTGGCCAAAAGGAATCTTTTCATGCGAACAGAATGTGTCAAATGAAAGCCACAGAGTTTGGCCTGTGTTATCTCAAATTAGTGTGTTGAATTGCCAGTGTTAACACCTATCGAGTGTCCTGTATCTCTCCAAGCACTATACCAGATGTAGGGAATTTTATGCTAGAGGTGAAGACAGGTGTCGCGCTAGTTACACGCTAGCCACTACCCCAGTCCTTGCCACTTTCACGGCAAATTTAAGGGGGTAGCTATGATTATCATCATTCCCACTTCACAAACGAAAAACAAAAAGAAGCCTCACTAAAGTGTGCACTATGCCCAAGGCCACACAGCCGAGACGTAGCATCAAAGACTTCAGGTCCCTTGGACTACCTGAGTCCAACACCGGGAACCTTTTTCTACACTGCAAGCAGAGGACGTGAAGATCCAGCAAAAGGAAATGGAGGGTGATGAGAAGGGGATGTCATCAGAGAAGGAGGAGAGGGGTTTGGAGCCCGATTTTGCAAAGAGGGAAGGCGTTACAGGAAGTAGGAATGGGCTCTACAGCCCCATCAAGGGGAATAAACAGTGGGACATGGGTGTGGCACAAAGATTCCCACAGCTGGAGAAGAGTGTCTATAGTAGGGCATAATGAGAAAAGAATGATGGAGTAGGAGAGGGTGATTCCACAAAGGCCTGGAAACAGGGACGTTTGATCGAAAAGTGTAAATTCACTGAAAAGGAAAATCTGATTTAAAAAGTGTTTCAAACGTTTGAGTGTATGAATGTAGAAGGGACTGTTGGGTAGAAACCATACAGAGACGACACTGAAAAAAACATTGCAAGTTTGCTCGCGTCCTTGCCGCTCCAGCACTACACCCACTGAGACCCAAGCTCTGTCAACGAGGGGCTGAGCGGGGGCTCTGGGCCCGTGGATACAGGACGCCATCGACGTTTCCTTTCTTTTCTTCCCTACAGGATATGCTTCTCCTCATCAATCAAAAAGGGCCGCTCACAGAAGGCATCTTCAGAAAATCGGCCAATATAAAATCATGCAGAGAGCTAAAGCAGAAACTGAATTCTGGGGACAAAGTTTATGTGCAAGCCGAATCTGTTCTTGTGGTGGCCTCTGTCTTAAAGGTAGGGAAAGTTCTAGCGTTATCCACACACAGCGTAACTCTGAAGCTACACGATCGATTTCCTTCACCACGATTGCCCAAGAACCACGGGAGGGTTAATAGATTAGGAAACTCAAAAACACTTCACAAAGTCAAATTTAAGGAAGCTACTTTGAGTGCTAAAAGCCCCGTGTGTTAGATATACTTTCCCTTTCCATCACACACCACCCTCCCCATCCTCACTCCTGCACACTCCATGCGGAATAATAGTCATACAAATTTTAAATACACGCTTAGATATACAGAACGTTTACCAAAACAGACATCCTACTTTTGGTGACTTCTTCACCATCGTCCTAATGAAGGCAACGTTTCCAAAAGAAAATTCATATTCAAGATTCGAAAATAGATACAGAAGTTTCCCGTAGTGAGTAAGCCAACATTTGCCTTACACTGAACCCAACACCGTTCGATGAGCGACCAAAAGCTCTGTTCACTTCATCATCCTTCTTTCGCCTGTCTCTCTTAATGCCTTTGAATTTAAAAGTAGTGTAGGGGTGAGTCCACTTTTTGTGACTTCTTTCACCTTTACCAACATGGGCATGCTTTGTTAACGTTTGTTGTGCCTCACCCACCACCCGTGATTACAGTTACATAGCACCAGATAAGAAGAGCACACGCCTCTTCTTATAAATCTGAATTTTAAAGGAGGTGCAGCAACCCAAATTTGTCTGGAACTCTGAAAATTCAATACATTTATACCAAAAAATTAATTTTTAAATGATACAACTAAATCACCAATATCCAGTTACATTTCTATAAAGGGAATAACAGAACAGAGAAAGAATTTAATCAATCCATCTTGGTACTTGTTAACAGCTCTAGAGAAGAATATCGTAATGTAGAAATGACTATGAACAGGTTCTTGAAATTATCTTAGAATCGCGATTACGTTTGGTCTTTCCTTGTCCCCCATTAACGTTCGGCTGTGTGATAAACAGGAACGTGACTGAGTCGACCACTATGACACTGGGACCGCTAGGAATATACACTAGGTATGCAGATAGCAAGTTGAGTGCTGCCCTCTGTAAGGTGCACACCTGGAATTGATTTTCCAGCCAGAGTTAGGGGTGCCCATCTGCAGAGTCTTGCCTATCTTGATGCTGTAAGTGCAGACTAGCAAGAGGGTGGCCACTTGTGGGTACAGTTCTTAGGCATTCCCAAATTCGACTGATCTTGGTGGGGAATCAGACTTTGCAACCATGGCCTTGAGGACACCATGCCCCATGAACTGGAGTGTGGGCCTGAACCAGAAACGAGTGTATCATCAGGACCCACATTGAGTTGCCCCTGAACTGTCTAAAGACAGAGGTCCAACAGTGAGTACCCTTGGCATATGCTCTTGGGTCACGTTCTGGCTTCGTCACACTCAGCCTCACCAATGGACTCCACAGCACGGGGTCCAGGAAACAGAGAGGAGACACACGCTCCGAGTGCCTGTAGTGTGGTACACAGGAGGCAAAGGCCCTCCTGCACCCTCCCAGACTCCCAGAGGCGGCCGGAGTTGGAGCGCTTCCTCCCTCCAAAGATACTGGAAGCGCTCCCTAGGAAACACGGTGAAAAACAGGAACTCCCGTGGGTGGGTACTGTACACCAATTAAGAGAGTAAAGGTGAGAGAGGACTGGGACTCTGTCCATTTTCTTCACTGCTCTGTCCCCGGTACTCAAAGCAGTGCCTGGCACAAACAGCAGCTCAATTAAGTATGAGCATGAGTGAACAATCACTGGATTATAATCGTGATAGTTGCCCGGAAGCATTTCCTGAGCGAGCGACTATGAAGAGAAGTCTCGGGCTATTTAGAGGGACCAGTGGAAGCAAGGTGTGCCTTGGAAGCCAGCAAGACGATGTGACCACTTCCTCTCCGTCTTGCAGGAACAGTACAGCTTCATAAATGTTAATAGGGCCAATTCTGCGATATGAAGCTTGTTCCTCAGCCCTCTAAAGTGGGCTGACTTTCCAGGCCTCCACTTATGAAGCTGACATTTGTAGATCTGGAACGCTGATGCTCAGAGGCCTGAGGTTGTGATATATCTAAATTTTGAGTAAGGTTCGTTTTTTGGAAGGATATGTATGTTCCACTCATGGGGCTGCAGCGGGTAACATGTCATAACCCTTTGGGGATTTGGATATATTTCCAATCCCTGCTGCGTACAAGTCTGCAGAACTGAACTTTTATACAGTTAAAAGTGGGAAGAATGAAGCTATTATGAGAGCAGTTTTCTCCCAAGGAGTACACACACCTCAGTTCTCTCTTCATATGTGTGCAGGGGCACGAGGGGGGGCCTGTTTGGTTTGTTTCAGAACTTCTCCTGCTAGAGGTAAGAGCCAGCACTGTGTCTAAACTAAACAAGAGAATGGCTGTGGCTATTTCTTCTCACGAAACCAATAGGATTGAGGATGACTAGGACCAGACCGTGTCAGTTTCTACCAGTTCGCTAAAATGTACACCAAGAGGAAGTTCCATGTGACGGAAGGGGGCTTCATCTTCATTCCCACTGCAGCCCAGACTCTGCCTTTATGCTTCTAAGTTTTAGTCGGAGCAAATCCCCAGCACCTGCTGCTGGGTGTGCAAGTCAGTGGGGAGGCGGAGCCAAGCACCACGTGGGTCACAGTTTGGGGAGCTGTGAAGGGACTGGGGACAGAAACTCAATTTTTCAACTACATGTTTTCCCTGTAATTTCTCCGGTACAAATTTGCCATAAGAATAATACTATTCTTTTGATCTATGTCAGGAGTTTCTTCGAAGTATCCCCGGAAGTATATTTACATCCAATCTCTATGATAAGTGGCTTGGTGTAACTGATCAAGGGAACGAGCAGGAGAGACTCACTGCCGTTCAGAGGTAACGATGCTATGATTACTCTTTCGGGGCACACCTCAAAAGTACAACCAGCATACTCTTAGGAAAACATTAGCTTATACTTTACAGCTCTGTCCACTAAAATAGTGACCAAGGCCAAAGAGTTTGATTTGCCCACACCCTCGGAGGCCAGTTCAAAAACAGAGGCACGTCTTAGTGCTGTTATTGAAGTCTTGTTCTTCTCCTAATCTTATTCATGTGGCCTCCTTGACCTTTAATGCCTTCTGAGTATGTGAATCTGATAGGAGATGAAATCCATTGGTCCAAGAGAGGTGCTAGAGGACCAGTCCGCCAGGGGTTATGATCTTAACTTTGTCCAACACTTAACTAACCAGAGAAGTTCTTATCTGGTTCAGGAATTGAATTCAAGGAAACATTTGTGTACGCATTTTTGCCTGGAATTTTGCTAGGCTCTTACCCTGAGATAGCATTCCCATATGGCTATGTGAAAAATAAAGGGGGCCTTTTAAATTTCATTGCTGTTTAATCTAATCACTAAGCTTTTGTGAACTGTGATTGAACACATTCTGCGATGTTTCAGAGTTTTAAAATAGATTTATGTTGAATTAGATATTACTAAGCTCTGCCCAAATTAAAACCCATTATAGGCATTTCAGGCAGTATGTTTATGAGACATATTTCTACATTCTTGTGGAGTTTCACTGGGCTTTGTACCTGGTCTACGAAGAATTCCTCTGTTCCCTGTCTCTCTATTTCCAACTTCCTAAGCGAAATGACTTGTTTTATTTAAAAGTCCATTTTGTTGTCTTTAGGCTTTTAGACCAGCTTCCGACAGCCAACCTGGTGCTCTTGAGATATCTGTTTGGAGTGTTACACAATATCCAGAGCCAATCATCACACAACAAGATGACCTCTTATAATTTATCAACGTGTATAGCCCCGAGCCTTCTTTGTTCACCGAATGCCTGCAGCTGGGAATCGGAAAGTGACACAAGAAGAAAGGTAATGTGGGCGCTCATTTTCATGTCCTCGTGGCAGAGTCCCCACTTTTAACCCAAAACGTGCAATATTAACTCTGACAGACCAGTGTTTGAAAGTGCTCACGTTAAGTACACTCTGGAGTGGCCGACTCGTTCATCCCCCGCTGTGGGGATGGGAAGGGGGGTGTTAAGGGGGAATTGAGAGCAGTGGAGTCACTCCCTTCCCAGCCAGGAGACTAAACTCTGGCCTGACTAAACAACAGAGAGAGAGGAGTGGCCTCCTCACCTTTGGAGTGTGACCAACCAAGGTTCCACTCTGCCCACCGAGGGATGTGTAACCCTGGGTGAAGTTTCCCAGCCGTGGTTTCATCCCTGCACAGTGGTGACAACATCCAGCTCCTCTGGTCGTTGCTGGCACATCCTAGGCGGCTTGGGCCACATGGGTCCCCGTGGCTCCACACACATTGACCCTCCTCTGCCGGTTGTGGCTCATTCAGAAAAATAGTTGGCCACTATTTCGCCTCTGCTACAGGGTGAGGAAACCAGCAAAAGATTCCAGAACATCCCTATAGAGCCACAACACGCCCAATAAGATCACAGCTCTTCCCCAAGGTCACCCAGAGAGCAAGCGTGAGGCAGGCAATGCAAGAGGAGGGGCTGCAGTTAGACAGACAGACATGGTGTCTCTCCAGCGGCTTCCTTCCCTCACAAAAACACACAGAAACCTCCGCTTTCCAAGTTTAATCAGAACCTAAACTTAAGAATGAATTTCACAAGTTTTTGCCTTATTGCCTGCTTTATAAATTTTAATAAGATATGATATGTCAATTATATCTCAAGAAGACTGGAAAAAAATGTTAAATAACAATGAATGAGTAAAATTTAGTAAGAGAGTATACATCTTTCCCCCAAACATCCTAGGTGGGTTACACTTGAAAACTACCCTACTTTGCAAGATGTAACCATTGATATAAAGATGTCAGCCATTAAACTAGACCACAAATGATGCCCTTAGTCCACTGAGGAAAAGTATTTTAAAACCTGTGCCCAAAGTACTCACGAGAGAATCACAGTTCTTTCTCAGAGAAAACTGGTTTATATATATTTTTTATCACCTTGGAATTTTTCTCAGAATTCTTTCACATTGTTCGTTAGAGCCAAGATTCATAGATGCAATGTGATTTGTAACTACGCCATATGAGAGAGAACACCCCGTTTTCGCCCTTGTGTGTTCCAGGTTTCTCTGGTACAATTCCTCCTTGAGAAATGCCTGAGGATATTTGGAGAAAACATCCCTTCCCTCTTGGGGGAGAGCTCCACGAGTTGTGATCGCAGCCAGGAGGCCACGGAGACCAGGACTGATTTGATTGACTTTGGTGAGCAACAGACTGCGAGGCCGCCGGGGCTCATGGGAGATGCTTAGACAGGGGGAGCCCAGAGCACATCCCAGGGGCAATGATTCCCACCTGCTCCTTCCTCCACAGGCTGGCTCACAGCTCGGGGAGGGTTTCACACTGTCGTGAGACCAAAGACACAAGAAGTCAACGTCTCTGACTTCAAGAAGTTGCTAGTGCAGATCATAATAGCTTTGGAGACATCATGGGACGATACAGTGTTTGGGAACTTTTTAAAACCAAACTTCAAACGGGACCCTTATCTGTATAATAGACGTGCTCTGGTTGAAACCAGAGTCAGGGCTCCAGAGCACTGCCGCTTTGATTCCTCCCTCCCTCCTTTTCCCGCCCATTGGTCCCTGAGGCACCGCGGGATTCCAGTGCTCTTGGAAACAGGTTGAAAGCAACCAGCATCATTCAGAAGAAAGGACTTGACTTGATATCATTCAACCTTTCAGAGTGGTAGAAACTCCTGTGCCACCGTTTACCAGGTGTTTTATCTTTGGCCAATTATTCTAGCTCCTCTGTTTCTTCTTCTCTGAAATGTTCGTAATAATGTCTAAATCTTAGAATTGTTGCAAAGATTAAATAAGATAAGGGATGCAAAATAAATGTGTAAAAAAGCATTTAATTGGACTAGTAGGGGTGCCCGTGAGACTGGAGCTGGTGTTGGAGCCTCGCTAATCCCAGCAAACTGTCAGGGGTCCATTGTGTAGGGTGCAGTTTAGGTTCAGAACCTGAGGACATGTATCATGATTCCCTTTGTATTTTTGACATTTCTTGTTGTTATGACATTTACCTCATTGCTTTGAGGAACTCTTTAGGAAAATCCATTTCATCAAGAATGAGATGAGTCTAGTATCTGAGAATACGCTTAAACTAAGACAATTGTTTTTCATTTCAGCAGTGACAACAAAACCACGTCTTGAATCCAAGCCAGTGACAGTGGTAGTCTTTTACAAAAAGGCACAACAGCTGGATGATGCCAAGGTCCCGGGTGGCATGGCTCCACCCAGCTACCTTGATACAACATTCTAGTCACTGAAGATGAGAATGTCCATTATCTCCCTTGACCCTTCCTTCTCCTCTACTTCCCACAATATCCCACTGAGATAAAAAAGCAGGATTATACTGAATTTGGACTAAATCCTCAGGTCCTATCCAGAAATAAGTGAATTTTCTGGCAGAAGGCACCTTGAACTAAGACAACCACTTTAGATCATTTGTTTTTAGCTGGAAGACTGAGTGAAAAATGAGGACCTTACAAGCGCCCAGAGCATCCCATTGGAGTTTTTCTTTTCCTTGATCGCATATATCCATATTTGAGAAAACCTCCCCACAAATAAATATCTCTTCTATCCTTCCATTCCTACTATATTGTATTATATGTTTTTTGTATTGTGCTGTACTGAATATTTTTACGTTGATGCAATAAAAATCATTCCAGGGCTGGCCCCACGGCTTAGCGGTTAAGTGCGCGCGCTCTGCTACTGGTGGCCCGGGTTCGGATCCCAGGCGCGCACCAACGCACTGCTTCGCCGGCCATGCTGAGGCCGCGTCCTGCATACATTAACTAGAAGGATGTGCAACTATGACGTACAAGTATCTCCTGGGGCTTTGGGGAAAAAAAAAAGGAGAAGGATTGGCAATAGATGTTAGCTCAGAGCCAGTCTTCCTCAGCAAAAAGAGGAGCATTAGCATGGATGTTAGCTCAGGGCTGATCTTCCTCACAAAAAAAAAAAATCATTCCATAAGCTAGTGCCTTAGACAACCATTTTATTTGCTCATAATTCATATTAACACTTTGATGGAGGCTCACTTGGGAAGTTTTGTTCTCAACTGAGGTCATTCAGGCACCTGCAGTCAATTGGCAGCTCAACTGGAGCTAACTTACGTGTCTGTCAGCTGGTGCTGGCTCTTAGTCATTCCCCCTGTCTTCAACAAGCTGGCCCAGCCTTCTTTATGTGGTGGGGGAAGAGTTCCCTGCAGCAAGAGGGGCATTTCAAGCCTCTGCTTGCTTCACATGTCCTAATGTCCCATTGGTCAAAGTCAGTCACATGGCCACACCCAGTGTCAACGTCGGAGGGGCTGCACAAGGGACTGCAAAGACAATGAGTTATTAGACGAGGGGATATTCCTTATTTCTTGAGCGCTATGCCTGTGATCTACCACACATGGTAATCAAAACTCAAGGCAGCACCACTACCACACACATACTTTTATTCATCAGCTTGTAACCCAACATTCTTTAGACCAGCATTTCCTAAAGGGTATTACAAGTGCGATAGGAAATATCTTTGAAATAATAACTGATATTTTTCCTCAGATACTCCTTGCCTCTACATTTCTCCCTGTCTTAAGCTGTTTTAAGAGAAAGTTAGGATCATTTCATCAGGGAAGAGAAGTTAGAGCTGAATATGAGGAGAAGAAAGCTCTTTGTTGCTTATGAATTTTAAAAACTTAGTTTCCTAGGAAACAAAAATGATTCATAGCATAAAGATTTAGGTGGAACTCTCATGGGAAAATCCCAAAACCAATAGGTGTATGGGATATGTGCCCCATTTCCTGAACAGAAATCAAAAGGAAGCAAGAAGCACTCACAGAATAGCTAAATGACATGTCTAGGAAAGATGGAGTCACGCACATTCATCCAGAGTTTCTTATACTTCCACATGGAACAGATCAGTGAAATTCTTCCCATCAATCCCAGAGTGGTATGGAAGTAACAAAGAGAGCCACTGGATTTGAATGAGACATATCTCAGCCACAGTTGTACAGACCAATCTCCCAGGACCAGACACCAGTTAGGACATCTCAGCAGATTTCAGCATACACAGATGACACAGAGGACCAGAGAAGGCCACCCCACTGTTCCACAACCTCCTAACTCCTCGGCACTAGAAGACTTTAGAACATGGACACACTCTTGGGGAAAATAGAGCGATCCTGAATTTCTACCAAACTAGGGATAGAGGAGCAAACTAAAGATCAAATGAGTTATGTAAAAATACAAAACAGCACATTTCTTACACATATCACTTTGTAGACTGAGATTAGCACCAATACATATGAAATACTTGGATCCAGGCGTTGTTTTCCTAGAAAGGGTTACCGGGTCAAATAGCGGTCTGGGAAATGCTGTGTTTTCCTTTTGGAAGTCAAAATGCCCATTAACATTTTAAGTCTTAGAGAAGACCCACCCAGTCAAGAAACCCAGTATTTTCCACATTTATTTGACCTGGGAGACCCTTTTGGAGGAACTCTATTAGTTAACGATCCTGGGAACATACACTAATAAACATTAATCTAAATTTATCTTCTTAAGTCACAGATTTTACCATTTCACACACCTCCTCAGAAAGCTTCAATGGGTTTCAATGGATCTTCTGATTTCTTTTTCAGGAAAATGTCCTTTTTAAGACCCTCCACAATGCAATCTTCTCTAGGAATCAATTTTATCTTCACTATTTCCCAGTGAAGATCCTTTTCTTTAGCTAGGTCAGATACTTCACTGTTCCCTGAACAAGACACACTCCTTTTTCTAATTACAATTCTCAACTCCCCTTGGTCTCTATATATCTACACTCTAGATAGGCATTTGGGTTTTCCTCTCTCAGAAACTTCACAAAGCCTTCCCTGACCTCAAATTAATTGTTCTTTAAGAACGCATGAGCACTTGACCCCAACAGATATTGGCTCATATGCTGCTTTGCACCATCAGGAATTATGCTGGTATGTTTACACGTCATCCAACAAGTCCAAATTCCTGTGGTAAATGACTATATCTTGTGTTGGTTTTATATTACTTTTAATGCCTGGATAAATGTCTTCTAAAAGAAATATATGAATGAATATGTGCACTTTCCTAAGAGTGTAGAGATTTTACAAAGATTGGTAATGACTGCAAATTTTGAAAAGCAGAAGAGGCGGAACACAGCACATATGGAACTTCACAGAGCGGCAATAAGACACCAGTTTGACTAAGTTTTTTAGATATGACTTCACAGCTTTTACTTATTAACAGGTTCTGGGATATACTATTTTTATTCATCATATGAAAAATAATATATCGGTGTGATATATTGAAATAATTGCGTGTTTGTGTGAAATTTCTTTTAAATAGCAACATTTTCAGAATAAGGGAGGCAAAACACATGGCTGGGCAATGCATCTGTGAGTTTCTGAGCCAAGAAAGATTTGAAAAGGAGAAGAGATAAAAATAAGAGAAGGTAAAGAAAAGTTGAAATTCAACTAATTTGTCAATTGCAACTCATACAGGAAATTCTTGCCACGGGGAAATAGGTAATAAATGTTAGTTTTTCCCTCAGGATACTCAAGTATAATATCTCCTTGAGAAAGGCAACATATTAGTTTTGAGAAAAGATCCTAGTACTGATAAACGGTAAAAGGACCCAATTGTCTAATCTAGAATGAATAAAAGGCAATTAGACTTTCTGATACTGGTCTTTAACATAGCTGGAAAGATCTGTGTAATCATCAGTCAATCTGCACTTAGGGATATAATTAAGGTGAAACATTTCCAAAAGTAAAACAAAAGTACTGAGGATGAATATCTTACTTTATTCCAGAAAGAAAGCTATGCCTAGGCTACCCATATCGGAAAACTAATTCTCATTGATGGTGAGAATCAATTACTATGATATATGGAATGGAATATATATACACACACAATTTTTATTCCACAGAAGCACCATGTAAGAATTTGGGAGATGGAGTATATATACTTGTACAAAAAGCCTCTGTTTTCCAGAAAGCATTGGGCAATGCCTTCCATATGCTTCTATAATTCCTTCCATGTTAGCCAAAGAAGCCACTGAGTACTCTAAATACAGTACAGATGGTAACTCTATTTTCCATTTTTGTTTATGTTTTATTTGCTTATAGCGTAATTGGTGTTAGGAAGAAATTAAAATATAACAGTAATTAGAACTAACATGAGGGGCCGGCCCTCTGGGGGAGCGGTTGAGTGCGCGTGCTCTGCTGCGGCTGTCCGGGGTTCGCAGGTTCG